GTAAAGGGAGAGAGAGTGCTCGGAGTCCTCCAATTTCCCAGGAACAAGTTTATTCTAGCAGGTGCAGGGAGAAGGCGACGAGGGACAGGGCTGGGATCACGAGGAGAAGGTCCGAGCCAAGACACCGGACACCTCTGTGCGCCAGGTTTTAAAGTTCGTGGGCGGCTCATACAACAACCAATAGGACGGCAGCAGGGGAGGTGTTGTGGGAAGGGTTTACAACATACAGAACCAATGGTAGGGACCCGGGGGAGGGAAGACAATTGTACAACCAATAGGGCATCAGGTAAGGGGTGATAAGCAGGGAAGGAACCAGAACAAAAGGTGTGGTGTACATAGATTGATAGGGCTCGGGGGCAGGACCAAAGTGATGGATGGGGAACAATCTGGAAAAAGGGGAGGGGTTTACAATGCCAGCCATGGCAAAAATACTGACACAGCAACTCGTTTTGGTTTATTCCAATGAAAAATTTCAGAGTCGCAGTCGGGGTCAAGATCTTCGAGACTGCGCTTCTTAATAGCCGAATTATTTTTTAGTTCCCAATTTTCAATTTGTGTTGTATTGGGGGCAAACAAAGACAACCGGCCTAAGGTGCACGGCCCTCCGAGAAGACGAGAGGGGATGCCAGCCCACACTCGGTCTCCACAAACTAAAAACATGCCCTTAGGCAACTTAAGAGGGTAGGAACTGAGGGTTGAAGGCATCTTCACATGGGCAATGTTTTTGCACCAGGAGGCTGCTTGAAATTGTCTGTTGTCTTGCATTAATTGAGAATAAAGAGTAGGATCGGAAGGGTAGTAATGAAAATGGATACAATAGGGTGCGGGGGAGGAGTTTAATAAATCAAATTCCTGGGGCTCAGCGGTTGCCCACTCCAAGAAGGTCAGCCAGTCTCTCCACAGTAGGAGGGGGTTCTGGACAGGTCTCTTTACCTTATAAGTGGGTGCGGAGCGGGCCACTCGCTGAGCCGGCCTCCCTTTATTAGCTTCTTTAAACTCTAACAGGGAATCCGGGTACTCGTCAGGCTTTAACGGGATCCCCACCAGGCAAGTGGTCATCGGATTTCCCGCTGCTCCTGTGGATAAGCATAGATCATCCCGTTGGAGGGACTTTGCTAACATGACCCAAACATTTTGCTTAGGTTGGGGCACGATCCACATGTTGATCTGGGTCACCAGCATCATCAGGAGCACGGTGGTTGGCGCAACGTTCGGGGTGGTCATCTTTCTGATGGCTCTTTCTGAAAGCAAAGAAAACAAATACTTCACTTAACATAGAGGGATATTAAAAAATCAATAGAGGGAAAGGGGGGCTCGAGGTTTTCCTCCTCCTCGTCACTCCCGGGGATTACGGGGGTGGCCTGCACAGACGCGATGACATCCTCTTGCTCGTCTGGTGGCCTGGTGGGATGTTTCGGGACATAAGGTTTCACCCACTTTTGTGGGATCCACCTTAGTCCCTGGGGCGAGGAAACGCATGCGTATCCTCGCCCCCAGGTCACCAGATCGAACGGACCCAGGACTTTTTGGGTCTCTGGGTCCCGAACCAGCACTGGAGGGCAATGTTGTAGCCGGTAGTTGCTGGTGGAGGCAAAGTGCTGTGTCACCGGAGGGTTGGGATTACTATCACTACAGTTTAGAAAGTTGATGGTGAACAGTGCTTTCGATAGTCTGTCTTGAGGGGCGCAACTCTTCATGGAATCCCATTGATGTTTGAGGACGCGCTTGAGCGATTGGTGAACTCGCTCCACGATTGCTTGGCCGGTGGGGGAGTGTGGGATGCCTGTCTTGTGTGTCACTCCCCAACTCTGCATGAATTCCTCCAGTTTTCTGGAGGTATATGCTGGGCCATTATCCGTTTTTATCTCCTTGGGGACCCCCAGCACAGAGAAAGCCTGCATGAGGTGTTTACAGACATGCTCGGCTTTCTCCCCCGCGTGGGCAGAAGCAAAGACTGCTCCCGAGAAAGTGTCTACAGAAACATGTACATGAACTTTAACCTGCCGAATTCAGGAATGTGAGTCACGTCCATTTGCCACACCTCACAGCTCCCTAGGCCTCGAGGGTTCACTCCTGACTCCAGAGAGGGCATGGCAGTAGTCTGGCAGTGTGGGCATGTGGCCACAATGGCTCTGGCCTGATCTCACCGCAGGTGGAATTGGCGGACTATACCAGGCACATTTTGATGGAACATCCGATGGCTCAGCTTAGCTTGTTGGAACAGATCGGGGAGCTGAGCCACGGAAACAGGGGCAGCGAGGGAATCAGCTATCTGATTTCCCTCGGCTACCGGGCCAGGGAGATCCGTATGCGACCTCACATGCATTACGAAAAATGGTTGCTTTCTGTGGGAAACAGCATATATTAGTTTAGAAAGCAACTCGAACAACTTCGGGTTCGAGACCTCCTTCAGAGCAGCGTGTTCTGCTCTGGCAACTACCCCTGCAACATAGGTCAAATTGGTAACTAAATTGAAAGGTTCAGAAAACCTCTCAAAGGCCCTGACGACTGCATCCAACTCAGCAACCTGTGGAGATCCCTCCACATATTGAATATCTGCTTCCCACTGCTGAGTTTCGGGATCTCACCAAGTCACTACAGACTTGTGAGATGCCCCGGATGCGTCTGTGAACACAGACAGTGCTTTGAGGGGTCTTCTGCTCCGCATTTCTTTTGGAATTGGTTCAAATTTAGAATTGAAAAGTTTGTGGGCAGGGGCATGGACCGAAACTTGGCCTTCAAAACTATCTAGAGCAATCTGGAGTGTCTTGTTCTCCCGAAGTAGTTGATCAAACATTTCCTTTGTCAGCTTATCTGGAGACGCTTTGTCTCGAGACAAGCTGACTGGTACTTGAACGCATGCAAAGTCACACCCAGCCATCTCCCGAAACCGGGCTCGGGCTTTCCCGATGAGCTGAGCCATCAGCTCCTGTGGCCTGGTGACACTTTTGGACCTTTGATGGCTCAAGAAAACCCACTCTATAATTAAGAGGGGATCCTTAGAGCCCTGGTCCCACTGAAAAATCAGCCCACTGAGGTGTGGCATTCTCCCGAGTATAATAAATTCAAAAGGCAGGGTCGGTTCGTACCGATGCGCCTGTCTTTCGACAAGCGCATCCTCCACTTTCTCTAGGGCTTTCCTCGCCTCTGGGGTCAGGGTCCTGGGAGAACTCAGCTCCTTCTCCCCCTTCAAAAGTGTGAAGAGGGGGGCTAGGTCTTCAGTAGAGAGGCTCAGCCAAGGCCTGACCCAGTTTAATGTCCCACACAGCAAGTGAAGATCCGCTAAGGTTTTCGTATTGCTGTTTATTGCCAATTTTTGAGGCACAACGGTCCTCTCAGCAATCCGCAGACCCAGATACTTCCAGGGTGGCATCCATTGAACTTTGTCCTCCTGGAGTTGAAAGCCTGCAGATGTTAAAACCTTAACCACTCAGTCAAGTGATCGGGTAAGTAGATCGTCATGGGGGGCGTACACTAGAACATCATCCATATAATGATGGATGATGACCTCCCCCATCTCTTTACGCACGGGAGACAGCAACGAGGAAACGTACCACTGGCAGATGGTGGGTGAAATTTTCATGCCTTGAGGCAACACCCGCCAGTGGAACCTCCTCACTGGGGCTTCTCAGTTGAGGATGGGCACCGAGAAAGCAAACCGTGGGGCATCATCAGGATGTAGGGGAATTTGAAAGAAACAGTCTTTGATGTCAACTATGGCCAGATTCCAATTTCGGGGGAGCATAGTCGGGGTAGGCATCCCTGGTTGAAGGGGCCCCATGTCAACAATGATTTTGTTGATGGCACGGAGGTCGTGGAGGAGTCACCACTTGTCCTTCCCCGGCTTTCGGATAACAAACACCGGGGAATTCCAAGGGCTGGTAGTCTCTACTATGTTACCCTTTAACAACTGCTCCTCCACGAGCTCGTTGAGCGCCCTTAATTTGTCTCTTTGAAGCGGCCACTGATCAATCCAGATTGCTTCATCTGTGGTCCAATCGAGCTTCTGGAAGGGGCGCTCCACAGTGGCCGCTATTAAAAATCCCGAGGGGTTTTCGGGATTTCAATCTTTACCCCCCATTGTGACATAAGGTCCCTCCCCCACAAGGGAACCTGAAAATCCGCAACAAATGGGCGTAAGTTCGCCAATTGCCCATCCGGTCCCGTAATTTGTACTACGCTCTTTGATACCTGCACCAATTGCGTGCCCCCTATACCCTGGACTTTCCCCGCCACGGGTTGCAACGCCCAATGCGATGGCCATCTCCTTTGGGGGATGATCGTCACATCTGCCCCCGTATCAAGCAGACCCCTCAAGTTAACAGATTTGGCACCCTGCTTGATGCTGCAATCGACGATGGGTTTGTCTTCACCCACCACCTCTGCCCAGTAGACGCCTGGTGCGTGGTTGTCCACTGGGACTCCCTCAGGGACAGGAATGTATTGTGCTATGATTTGCCCCTTTGGGAGAAAATATGGTGGGTGAATGCAGCGCGCTAAGAGGATGAGATCTTCTGGATCACCCGGGAAGGTGATCGGTGAGATCTCAATTTCTGGGGGTGTGTGTTTAGTGTCCCCGATGGCGATGTACTTACAGTCGCGTCCAGTGTTCGTCCTGTCTCCCTCCAGTGGATCCACAGCAACTACTGTCCAGTGCTGGGTCTGAAAGAGGATGTCCCTAGTAGTTGTTAAATGTCGCGTCCGGTTTATTGGCCAAGTTCGATATAAAAATGACCCCCCCTCCCCTGCGAGACCTGCCCCATTTGTTGCTTCGCGCGGGGCAGGTTCGCGCCGCTCCTCTAGTTTTTTTTTATTAGACTTTCTTTTGCCCTTGCCCCCGATTGCTCCCTGGGCCAGGACGTGCGGCTGGACACTCCCTGGCTAAATGTCCTGGTTGCCCGCAGCGATAACATTGAAATTGACGTGTAGGCGCTGATGGAAACTGTGTTACTGCAGCAGTAGGCGTTTTCTTCGCTGGTGGCGGTTGGACGGCCCTGGACATCCCCATCATTGGGGCCTTCTTGGCGCAGGCCTCGATGAGGATGTCCAGCGTCGGTGTTGGATATAGCGGCAAACTGAAGATTATTTGTTTGCAGATGTCATTTGCGTTAGCCTTTGCCGCCTCCAACACAAGTTGTTCTTGCCACTCCGGTCTCTCCACTTGCCTCTCAGCCTGGGCTTGTAACCTGTTGATGAACTTATTGAAAGGTTCATTGGCGAGCTGATAGATACTCATAAGGTTTATTTGGGGTCCCTCCCCAGGCAATGTATTAAAAACCTTTTCTGCTACTTCTATAATTCTAATCACCACAGGCCGGGGTAATACCCTGGCCTGCTCCTCAGGTTTGTCCCAATCCCCTTCACCGCACAAGTGCTCCATGGTCAGAGGGACTCCGTCTAAATCAGTAGCAGTGTCATTATTGCGCAAGAGCGTTGGAAGGATGGTTTCCAATGATCTCTTCCACCCCTGTTTCCAGAGCCTGAAATCGGCCGAGGAAAGGATGCAGGAAAACAATTCTTTCAGGTCATAGGGAACCATTTCATTCGCGGAGAAGGTAGCTTTGAGTAGACCTTTAAAATATTCACTACCCTTCCCGAACTCCTTTTGCGCTTTGCACAATTCCCTCTTTGTTTGGAAGGAAAAGGCCTCCCATTCTCGGGATCGGCCTCCCCTTCCCCGAAAAGTGACTGGAGCGGCAAGGGGGATTTCTACCCGTTCCGGGTTCTGGATTCCAGGCCTATCCCCCACCCCTTCCCAGGCGTGAGAACCGGATGTTGGGGTGTGGGAACTGGAAGGAGGAGCATGGGAACCAGGAGCCAGAAGGGGCGGGACTGGAAGACTGCCTGAGGAGGAGGGCAAGGGGGAGGAGCGACAATTGGAAAAGGCGGGGTTCAGTTGGGTGACGTCGGCTGGGCACGCCCCCGAGGAGGAGGAAACTCTCGAACAGGGATGGGTGGAGTCCGGGAAGGAGAAGGAGGAGTTAGGGAGGAAGGGGTTGTTCATTGGGGGACGAAAGGGATTATGGGGAGAAGGAGCACAAGGGGAGGTCCCAGCCATGTGGTCCCCGCCATCTTGTGCCCTTGGGGGGCCATTTTGAGAGTCAGGAGAGGGATAGGGGAACGTAGGGGAACATTGGAAGCTGGGGGAAACTGAGGCACGGGGCTCTAAGGGTGTAAACTGGGGACTTGCAACCTGGGAAATGTTTAACCGGGGGTTTGCAACTGGGGAAACGGGGGAATGGGAAAGCGCTCTGGCAGCTTGGCCAGAGCTGCCAGGGCAAGGGTTCTGGGAGAGACGTGGGGAGCCAGGGATCCTATTGCCCTTGGGGGAACTCTGAACAGGACAGCTTGCTCTGCAGATTGCTCCGCAGGTCTCCCTCAACTCGGGATTAGGGGGAGAGGAACATGGGGATGGGGAAACTGGGGAAACTGGGGAATTTTGTGGCAGCTGCTCCTGCATTTTCTTTTCCTCTATTAAAGCAGACCGAATCAAGATAAATAATGTTACAAATCTTTCAGCCGAATTATCACCTCCATTTACTAACTCTGTTAATTTTGATCCAACCACATTCCAAAATTCTACGGAATTTGCTTTGTCTGGGGTCACATTGGGGAAATGCAGGAACAGCCATCTCACAAACCGCTTTACCCTCCCACGAGAAAACTTCCTATTCCCCCCCTCAAGGGTACCCACAACTTGGTAAAAAACTCTTCTGCTGTGCCGAAAGACGTGCTCCCATTCTGTCAGCCCTGGCACAGCAATCCCACCGCCCCCTGCAACTAAACGACAACTCAACGAACTAAAAATACGGGTCCGGACCAGGCTACACACACACACACTCCCTCTCCGAGGGAGTTTCAACACACTGCAGGGGAAAGCTGCACACACCTGCACACCCCCTTGTCCCCCACGTGGGGACTACTCACCTGAGTCCGGACAGGTACTGCAGGAGATGTCCACACCTCCCGAGGCGACCGTCGGCACGTTCGATGGCTGCCGCCTCGACCTCTGGGAGCGCAACTCGGCAAAAACGAGTCTGCTTCTACCAGAGTAGCTGCCGCTCACGGTCTTTGTAAAATCCACTTAGGTTCGTAGATCCACCGACCTCTCCGGGGGTCTCTACGCCTTGCGAGACGCCCCACGTTGGGCGCCAGCTGTCGCTGCCCGCTCGGCCCTTCACGCCTCGGCTAGCTCGTGCCAAGCGTCAGCGACAGGAGTGGGGAACCAGGTGAGCACTGTGTGACTCGACCTGGAACCTCTAGAGCTCCTCTGGGCTCGGGCTCTATGATTCGCAGGGCGACGCGGGGTGCAGTAAAGGGAGAGAGAGTGCTCGGAGTCCTCCAATTTCCCAGGAACAAGTTTATTCTAGCAGGTGCAGGGAGAAGGCGACGAGGGACAGGGCTGGGATCACGAGGAGAAGGTCCAAGCCAAGACACCGGGCACCTCTGTGCGCCAGGTTTTAAAGTTCGTGGGCGGCTCATACAACAACCAATAGGACGGCAGCAGGGGAGGTGTTGTGGGAAGGGTTTACAACATACAGAACCAATGGTAGGGACCCGGGGGAGGGAAGACAATTGTACAACCAATAGGGCATCAGGTAAGGGGTGATAAGCAGGGAAGGAACCAGAACAAAAGGTGTGGTGTACATAGATTGATAGGGCTCGGGGGCAGGACCAAAGTGATGGATGGGGAACAATCTGGAAAAAGGGGAGGGGTTTACAATGATAGGCAACTGGGGACAAACCATCTTGGGGTAGCGGGGGAGTCACTAAGGCAGACCAACTTTAAACTTGATGAAAGTGAACAAACAGACTAAATGAAAGTGAACAAACAGGCGGCAACAAGTCAGTCCTTATGAGATATTGTATGGGAAACCATAGGAATCCCCTGAACCTAATCCAAATGTACATGTTACAGGGAAGCAAGAGGTGTATAATTATGTTCTGTCTCTTGGAAAAGCTCTAGCTCGACTTTGGAGCACCTTTGTGTGGAATAGGCCGCTGACTCTTGAGAATCCAGTTCGTGACATCCGCCCGGGAGATGAAGTGTATGTTAAAAGTTGGAATGAAGAACCATTAAAAGAAAGGTGGAATGGACCCTATCAGGTACTGTTAACTACCTTTACAGTAGTCAAAGTAGCTGGACTGGATCCCTGGATACATTACACCAGAGTGAAGAAGGTTTCCCCTGCACTGTGGACTGCGCAAACTGTAGGACCAACAAAGCTGCAGATAAAGTGGGTTTGATTGTTTCAAATGTCTAGGTCGCTAGTGACTGTAATGGTGATTATTTTATGGCCTTTAGTGCCTTCAGGAAGAATCAATGTTACCTTGGGATGTGAAATGCAAAAGGATCAGCTCACAACTCTTCATTTTAGAATGAAGAGGGATGTGGGGGTGCAGCCAGAAACACAAGTGATAAAAGTCTCTAATACTATCCAGGCAGAAAATGTGATGATTGGATTAATTAAAGATTTTGCTAACATGCAGAACACCAGCAAAATAACTGTCTGTCTGCCAGTACCAAAGGCAGCAGGACACCCAATAAGTTGGGGAATTATAACATCAAAATTACCTGAAATACAAAAGAATAAAAGTGAGAATGTGAGCTGTGTATTGCAAATAGATTACGAGTACCAAAATAAGACAGTGTTTGAAAATGCTGTGAAGGCAAAGTATTCATCTATATGGGATTGTCATGAAAATGGAGGAAAGGATGAACCAAAACTAGGCTGGTATGGGAGATTAGGGAATTACGGATGGTGTTATGAAAAGATAGCAAAGGTTATTAAAGAAAAGATTCCAGTGTCACAATAGAAGTGTAAAGGACAGAAAAGAAAAGATCGGGCTGAAGCTTGGGACAGTGCATGGTCAATGAGTGTGCTTCAGAAATTCCAATATAGGGCAGATACCCCTTAGTGCATTAAGTGGGAAGCCTCTGAAAATGAAACAGATCCAGAAGTATGGAACACTGCAAGCAGTACTAGAATGGAGGCAGACAAAGTGAATTGGTGGGTATGTAACAAAACTTATGACTGTACTGATGATGATGAAGAAATAAAACAAATGCCACCGCTAGTGGTAGCTCTGCGAATTGGATGTGCCTGCAGAGGAATCAAACATAAACAAGGTGAAATAAATGACAAGATAGGACAAGTGATCCAAAAGGTAGTATGGAGCAGAAGTACAGTTCAGAGTCCAGGCCAATTTGTATGGGCAGCAAGCGATGGCACCTGGACAACACATTTGCCTGTAAGTGGAAAAGTAAAAGAGATTACTTTAGGCCTCCCCATCTTATGCCCAATTTGGAAAAGGTCCCCATTTAAAGAAGAACATGAACTCCTGCAAATAAGGACGAGACAAGAAGTTCAGGAAAACAAAATTGAAGATGAAGAAAGATGGCATGAAACCTCCAGTAGTATAAAATTTGAGTGAGCTCTGGAATCCTTGTTTGGTCCAATAGCAAATTACAATAATAGAAAGATGTTGTACAAACTTACAGGTCAGGTAGAAAGACTGGCAAGAGTTACCAAAGAGGGATTTAGAGAGCTAAATGTACAATTACAAGCCACGACTAAAATGACCCTGCAAAACAGATTGGCTTTAGATATGTTATTGTTGAAAGAACACGGAGTATGGGGGTACCTAAAAGGACAAATTGATCACTGCTGCATCCACATCCCAAATGGAACTGCAGATGTAGAACACGACATTAATCAATTAAAACCCATAGAACAAGAAGCACAGAAAGAGCGGGAAGATCTGACCACAAGTTAGTTAGATAAAATTTTTGAAGGGTTGGGATGGAATGTGAGCTCATGGATCAAATCTATTCTTGAGAGTCTGATAATCCTACTGATTGTGTTCTTAGCAATCTGGTTAACCTATGCAGTTCTGAAAGGAGAGATAAAGAAAAGAGTATCTTGGAACCAGAAAATAATAAAGGCACTGACACGGGACAGAGATCCACATCCGCATTTGTTATCTCCAAGTCCTCCTGAGTGTAACAACGCTTATGAAAACTGTAGATTCAAAAATGAACATCAAGTATAAACTCAGAGGAAAAAGACTCTATATAGTGAAAGCATTACATTAATTCTAGTAAAGTGAAATACTTTCAAAGGGGAGAAATATGTTACTATGGGGTTAAATGTTTCTGAAAATGTTTCTTAAAACCATGAAGAAGTAGGCCGCAAGAATGTCTGGTATTAGGGATGGTCTAGCAAGCTGAAATGTTTACGGTAACGGGAACTGGTACTTGGGGATTCCAGGATACCCACCCAGAGATCAGATTTGTGCATGTTCATACAAGGATGAGCCAACTCTCATGAAGCAATATTGATAAAGCTAATCAAGCAATATTAATGAAGCAATATTGATAAGGTTGTTACAGTGATTACTGCTACAGCTGAAATTGTAGAAATATGTGCACTTTGGACAAAGACGATGGAGCTGGATTTGGGTTGCTGATACCCCTAGTTCCCGTGCGCTTCAATAAAGCACCTGCATATAATCAATCTGTGATTATGTGTGTTCCTGAACGCTAACATCAGCATCTCCCTTCACCCAGGGCAGCTCCCACCAGAGACCCTCCCCTGATTTAATTCCCAATCCAGGAGCTACAACAAGCATGGGTGAAGTTATGGGGGCTGGCAGGGAAATGTCACTGTAAGATCTTGCTGCACTTGGCTCTCGGCCCCTTCTCAAGAGCTTTGCCTTCAAGGGCAGGAACATCTTTTCCTTGCTGGCAACTGCAATTCCAGACTCTTGGAGTGTGTGCCATGCAGGACCACACAGACTGGGATCCATGGGCTGGGATTGCACAGACTGGGATTGCACAGACCGGGACCGTATGGATCAGCACCAGAGATTGGGATCACATGGACCAGGATGGCTGCACCAGAACGATGCAAACCAAGGCGGTCCTGCCCCGCCGAAGGCTCTCTCCCAGTTCCCTCCCAGTTCCCTCCCAGTTCTCTCCCAGTTCTCTCCAAGTCCCTCCCAGCCCTTCCCAGTCTCGCCTGGGGGCACAGCCAAAACTGCCCGGAGTGAACGTGGTGGTCCTGGAGTGATCCCAGAGCTGATTCCGGTCCCGGTGTCGATCTCTGTCCCGGAGCTGTGGTGGTCCCAGTGTCGGTCCCAGAGCGCTCCCAGTCCCAGTCTTTGTCTCGATCTCACTCTCAGTCCCAGTCTCGGTCTCGGTCCCAGAGCAGTGCCAGTCTCAGTGCCGGTGCCAGTGCTGGTTTCAGTCCTGGTCTCAGTCTTGGCCTCGGAGCAGTTCCTGTCCCAGTGTCAGTGCTGGTCCTGGAGCCATCCCGGTGCTGATCCCAGTGCTGCTCCAGGAGTGATCTCGGTGCTGATCCCAGTGCTGGTCCTGGAGCGATCCCAGTGCTGATCCCGGTTCTGGTCTCAGTCTCAGTCTCGGAGCAGTCCCAGGGCACTCCTGGAGCTGATTCTGGTCCCGGTGTCGATCTCAATGGCAGAGCGGTGCCAGTCCCGGTCTCAGTCCCGGTCCCGAAGCGGTGCCAGTCTCGGTGCCGGTGCTGGATTCAGTCCCAGTCTCAGGCCCGGTCTAGGTCTCAGTCTCGCTCCCAGTCCCGGTGCCAGTTGAACCGAGCCCTTTTTGGCTGATTTTAGGTCCCTTTTGGGCATTTCAGGCCACTTTAGGCGATGTTGGGGCCCTTTGGGTGATTTGAGGCAAAACCAGCGACTTTCAGGGTGGATCTTGCACATATTTGGGAGATTCAAGGGTGATTTTAGGCCATTTGGAGTGGGTTTGACACCACTTTGGGCATTTTTATGCCCTTTTGGATGCAATTTGGACACCTTGGGATGATTTTAACACCATTTGGTTGATATTAGGCCAAACCCTAATAAATTCCAGAAACATCCCACAAAATCATTACAAATTTCCACACAATTTAGGGAAAACCCCTCAAAATACTGCAAATTTCATCCATATCCCACAAAATTCCAGAAAAATCCCACAAAATTCCACCAATATCCCACCAAATTCTCAAAATCTTCTCAAAACCCCACCAAATTCCAGAAACATCCCACAAAATCTTTACAAACTTCCACATAATCAGGGAAAAATCCAACAAAATTATTCAAGTCTCCTCAATATCCCACAAAATCTAAACAAAATTCCACAAAATTCAAGAAAAATCCCTCAAAATTCCCTAAATCTTCTCAAAACCCTACCAAATTCCACAAATATTCCACAACA